GCGCCAATTTGGCGCCAGCGCCAAAAATGGATGTCATATTCGTGATCAGGACCCTCGATAACCCCCATAGCAGAAGTTTCAGCGAAAATTATTTTTTGACCCATCTCGGCCCCCACTGGGGTTGTAATAGTGCAATAGTGCCGTTTTCATCGGGAGTATTGTTCGGCTCCTGTGTAAAAAATGAATTAAAACACCGCGTCAAGCTCTGGCGGAGCCAGGTGGTGCGCCCCAGATGCGCCCTTTTCGTTCTTCTTTTATCGTTGTTGTCATTTCGTGCGTCTGGCTTCTTGATATCCTTGTTTTGCCATCTTCCTCGCAGTGGTTTTGATGTCAAGATCTTGTTGGGACAATTTACTGTTTTTCATCAGCTTTTACGTGATAGTTACTTTTCCTTAGCGGTTATCCTCATCGCAGGATCTTCTTGATAGCATAAGTGACCGAAGTGACCACAAGTCGAGATCCATTCAGAATGTATCCATGTTGCCATTTTTATGGTAGTGTTTTAGTCATGCAAGTTGCCTGGCGCGAACGAGATAGCGCATCACGAATAAATGCTGCTCGTGAAGCTTTACACATAAATCCGACGTGTGCACCAGCTCTTATCCTGTTAGCAGAAGAGCAATGCGAGACGATAACCGAAGCAGAAGTCATGCTGAGGTAACTTAAACCATTTATCCTTCCCTGTGGGGTTTTGTATGAGCAGTTGACGGAGTGACACATTTTACTAACAAGTAAATGTCAATTGGTCAGTCTGGTCATTTAAAATGAGATGCTTACCCATATACGTGCCTTGAGGCACTAAGTTCAAATCTGCCATTGTAATGTACGGAACCGTTCCGTAGATGAAGTTATGAAGCAGGAAAACGCAGCGGTAATGACCCAACTCACAGGCAAGAGGTCGCGGGATCTACTCTTGCAAGTCTGCTTTTGTTTTACTTCAGAAATATCTAAGAAGTATCTCTTCCATGTATATAGGTATTCATCTCATTTCAACCGGTCAGACTGGATAATTGATCTTTCTATGGCAACTATTTTATGAGGATTTTTTTTTTTGTATTCAGACGCGCGTTGAAAGCAGTTGACAGCAGTCTTGGCCAGTCGCAGTCTGGGCAGATAGTTCCACATGAACGCTCTGGAGATATGTATCGTCAAGGGCGACGTGCGTTATTTTCAAAGAATAGTCGTTTGACGATTCTCATGTCTTCGACTTTATAGGCCGTGATTTTCACATGCAAATATACATTCGACGTCGACTTGCTATGTGTGCACGGAAGCAGGGACGAGTGCGTGAAGCTATCAAAACCTTCAAGGATGTATGTGTTGATGTTCTTTTCTTGGCCTTTTGCTATTTCTATGAATTCCTTTTTCTTCAGATTATTAGGGATGGCTCCATGAGTAACATACTAGGCGTTCAAGAGAATCTCATCGAAGCTTGTTTGGAAATGCAAGCGTACGCCGATGTGCAAGCTCTTCTTGTTCGCTATGATGGTTTTGGTAAGTAGATTAATCGCCGGTTTTAGGCTAAAAAACTACGATATAACTTCTTGTTCGTTGTGATGGCTTTGGTGAGTAGTAGAGGATGCGGCCTTTTGAAAGCTACATATAACATCTTGTTCTGTAGATCTACGGGAACCAAGATCTGCGGTGCTGAGCTACACATCTGCACTTCTGAAAGCACGGGCTGTTGCTGACAAGTATCTATTGTTTCTTTCTTTTAACTCTTTCATATATAATTCTAGGTTACTCTCTAATGAAAGTTTTGAATTGAAGATTTGTTGCGGATATTTCGACAAGGCGAGGTCTGTCATCGGCAGAGGCAACAGCAATTGAAGCTATAACTAGAGCGATAGAGTTCAATCCCCATGTGCCTCTTTACTTGCTTGGTATGTCACAAACCGTTTTATTTGTAGTGAATTTTCCATGTTTATACCTTTTCAGAATTACGCCCCATGATTCTTCCTCCGGAACATTATTTGAAACGTGGAGATTCGGAAGCTATTGCTTACGCTTTCTTTCACATACAACACTGGAAGCGGATTGATGGTGCTCTTCAGCTTTTGCAGTATACGTGGAAAGGAGGTGGGAGCAACCCGGAACATTGTCAATTGCTGCTTCTGCATAGTGCATACATTGATCGAACATGGCTATTGACTAGTTTTCAGATTTTGCGTCACGGTTTTCAATGAGTGGATATTGCTATCCATATTCACCACAACTTGAGTCGGCTGACAGAGAGCTCCTCCCTGGTAAGTGTCAGTTAGAATTGGTAATTTTACAGGGATATACTTTGTAAACACCAAAAGAATGTTTATTTCAACGTCTTTCTTCTCTTTGCTCAACAAGGAACCAGTTCAAAATAGATGCAACCTGGTATGCCTCCAGTGCCTTTTTTTACTTGTTAGGAGAGAAGCTGATGGAATTGTTAGTAATTTCATTTTCTTTTTGGGATGTAGGCTCCGCGGCTGTTGAAACTCTTCCTTTACGTTGTTTTTCATTCTACATTCCGCATCTCCACGATTTATAGAATTCATAGATCCGACCCTTTGGATTTCTCAATAGATCACTCTTTCTTT